AAAATTAATATGTGATATTTTTAATTAAAATAAAAATTGATTTTATTATTTTTAAAATAAAAAATTTTAATAATTATATATTTATTATATTTTATCTTATATATAAGAATAAAGGATAGATAAAGTCAATTACTTATAACTATAAAGTTCAATATATAATCTCTCTGTGTAAAAATTAAAAAAAATTAATAATTGAAATAATTTAATAATAATTTTATTCTATTAAAAATAAAAAATTTAGAATTCAACTCACATAATATATATATATGAAATAAAATAAAAAAATAAAAAAAAATATTTTATTATGATATCAACCTAAAAGAAAAACGAAAACAAACCATTAATTAACTGAACACCTGAGGTTTATGATTTGCTAAAATGTACTTACAAGGGTACAAGTGGCGTTTTCAGTTGAGGACGGCAAATTACATAATTAGGAGGAGTGATACCATGCGGAGGGTGAGAACTGAGAAGCGCAAGGAGCGAGGGATCGCACCTTCTGATCTACGTCAGGTTCATCCACGTGTCACTGCTTCAGTTTTTGGAACCTTACATTTATATTCTACAAGCGTCAATCGGCCTTGGCTGGTGGCCCCCATACGTGTCGATACGTCTCTCCGACGTCTCCGTTACGGAGACCGAAGACACTTTCATGGCGAATCCTGAGTTTGACAGAATATAAAGGAGAATAACCCTTATTCATCCATTCCCACTTTCACCCACGGACCGTCGCCTCACGCTCTTCACTATAGAGATACAAACCAAATAAAATCAATGATTTTTTTCCTTTTTTTTTTTTTAATCTGCACCGTTGATCCATCATAAATAACATAATATGCACTTTCTTTTTAAATAATTTCCCCTATGCCTGACTTTAATCTGGAAATTTAAATTTTAAGGCATGCGCGAAAACATTCTTCTTAAATTTTTTCATTTTGGCCAACATCGCTTTAAGACTTTCTTCTTTATTCTCCTCTTATTTATTTAAATTTCAAGAATTATATTTATAGTTTATTGGTTCATAAGACTATGATTTAAGTTTAGGAAATATAAAATTTTAATCAAAATAATTTTAAAAAGTTGTTTGAAAACCATTTAACTTTTACATAAAATATATTAATTTAAACTAAACTAATATTTAACTAATAAAAATTATAATAAAAAAA